TAGGGTTTCCAAGGAATGGCTGGTGGATTTGAACTGTCGACCCTGGGGTTAGCAGCCGGGCTCCTAACGATTGTGCCACCAGAGCTCCTTGCATCTAGTAGGCCCTCCAGTGTTAAATTGCCGGTACCACTGTAGCGTATTCCCAGAGGATAAGGGAAGACTTTTCTTTACAGAAAAATGCCAGTTAATAAATACAGTGCAGAAGATAGAATTAGAAAATCACCATTTTATAACCCGCGTGAAACCAATTCTGGCAGATATCAAGGACACCAAAACCTTGAGGTGAGCTGGGCTGGGGAGCAGGCTATTTGCATAGTGCCAATGCTTCAGCCCAGAGATGACTGTCTAATTGCGTACAGGTAAAAGGCACTGTTGATGGCGAGATCTTGTCTCCGCTTCAAACAAGTGATCAAACCAGGTGTGTCTTCTGACGTGGGGCCATGGGAAGCTCGGAGTGTTACCTGTGTCATATCCTCACCTGGAATGTTAGCCCTAATCTAATCAGGCCTTTAAACCTAACTCCCAGTAAGACTGGCAATACAGGGGCTAGAATAAGACATTTGCCTTGAAGAAACAATCAGACAAAGCCAAAACTCTGTGACAACAGCTTTTATCTTCAAATAATGTTATAACAAAGAAGTAGGGAGATGAAGGTATCACAGCTAAACATAATGTGAGACACCGCGATTGGATCCTGGTTTTTAAGAAATTACAAAAGGCATCTTGGGGACAATGGAACAAATCTGGATACGGACTAAATATGGGATGATTTGGGGAGCTAGGTGTGATAATGGCCCCATGGATGTCTAGGATGATGTCCTTCTTCCTAGGAAATGCACACTGAACTCTTTGGAGGTGGAGTGTGATATCTACTTATAGCAAATATGGAAAAACGTTAACACATTGTGAATCTAGGTATGTAGGTGGTAGATATGTAGATATTCAGTTTTCTATTATTTCAATCTCCATGTGTTTGAAATTTTTCATAATAAAAGTTGGGAGAAAAATATCAATTTCAGCCTCACTTGGCATGTAGAATAGTCCGGAAGGGGCAGAAGTTTGGGGAGCTACACAGTATGTAGCAGCAGAGAGGGCGCTGAGGAGCTGGGGGGACTTTGAAGGATCTCGGTGGGGGTGGTGGGGGTTGTGTGCTGTCAATTCCAACTCATAGTGACCCTATATGACAGAGTAGAACTGCCCCATGGGGTTTCTGAGGTTGTGTGCTGTCAATTCCAACTCATAGTGACCCTATATGACAGAGTAGAACTGCCCCATGGGGTTTCTGAGGCTGTAATCTTTCCAGAAGCAGATTGCCAGGTCTTTCTCTCGTGGAGTGGCTGGTGGATTCCAACCACCCACCTTTCGGTTAGCAGCTGAGCGCTTAATCATTGAGCCACCAGTGCTCCTTTGGGTGGGGGGAGTGCTGCCCAAAAGCTGGGGAAGTGAACGAATCCAAGGACGAAGTGCTGGTAAGACAGTGCCAAATCAGCATTTCATTTTACACAGCGTTCCAGGAGAAGTCACGGTGGCCACGTGGGAATACATTGAGAAGCTCGTCTGTGAAACACCTCTTCCCAGCAGCCTTGAAGAAACAGAGTGCCAGTGGGTGCTACCCAGCTGGGATGCGGGGGCCTCTGGTACTGATGGGGGAGGGGAGAGCCTTTGGAGGGCTTACTGTCCTCACGGTTGGTTTGACTACTTTTTATGTATCGCCATTTATTACCTCGTTACTGAGCAATACATTTTCGAAAATGTTCTTTTTCTAATTCACCCTGTACTTCTCAGGAGGAGCCCTGGTGGCGCAGTGGTTAAGTGCTTGGCTGCTAACAGAAAGGTCAGCAGTTTGAACCCACCAGCTGCTCCGCTGGAGAAAGATGTGGCAGTCTGCTTCCATAAAGATGACAGCCTTGGAAACCCTACAGGGCAGCTCTGCTCTGTCCTGTAGGATCACTGTGGGTCAGAACTGACTTGATGGCAAAGGGTTTGGCTAATTCTCAGTAAGTCCCTAGGTGGCACGAACGGTTTGCGTTTAACAACTAACCTAAAGGTTGGTGGTTCAAACCCCCCCAGTGGGGCAGTGAAGACAGGCCTGAGGATCTGCTTCCGTTAAGATCACAGCCAAGAAAACCCTATGAAGCACCTCTGCTCTGTAGCACAACGGGTCCTCGTAGTCAGAACCGACTTAACGGCAGTGGGTTCGCTTTGTTTTTGGTTATCCTCCTCAGGAGGGAGGCACTGGTGGTTCAGTGGTACAATTGTGGCCTTCGCTGTGGGAGACCCAGGTTCAACTCCTGTCCCACGCACCCCGTGCGGGCTGCCACCCGTCCCTCAGTGGAAGCTTGTGTGTTGCTGTGACGCTGGACAAGCTTCAGCAGAGCTCCCAGACACCCTGTTCCTTCCCTCCCCCACTGCCATCGCCAGTCACTGGGCCTGGGCCGGCCCTACCTATGTGGCCATGGAGCTGCCGGCCCGTCCGTGGCTTATCTGCTGACTGCACAAGTGGGTGCGTCCCGACCGTGGGGCTCAGTCCTGTGACAGGCTAGGAGGGGGTCTTTCTATTAGAAGTCGTTCTGGGTGGAGACACTGGCTGAGTGAGGAAGCACGAGGGGATAAACGGGGCACTCAGCACGCGAATGCACCTTCCGAACTGTTAGGCACTGAATCGTGTTCCCCAAAAACACGTGCTGTAAATCCTGACCCCTAGACCTGGGGAGGAGCCCTGGTGGCACAGTGGTTAAGAGCTACGGCTGCTAACCAAAAGGTCAGCAGTTCGAATCCACCAGCCACTCCTTGGAAACCCAATGGGGCACTTCTACTCTGTCCTATAGGATCACTATGAGTCGGAATTGACTCAGTGGCAAAGGCTTTGTATACCAGTGGATGTGATCCCGTTTGGGAATGGGTTTTCTTTGCTATGTTAATGAGGTTGTATTAGCGTAGAATGTGTCTTAAATCAATCTCTTTTGAGATGTAAAAAGCGCGTATTGAGGAAGGAAGCAAGCAGAGATGGGGGAAGACAGACATCACACCACGGGAGATCGCCAAGGAGCAGAAGCTGAAAAGAGACGGGGACCTTCCCCCAGAGCCGACCGAGAGAAAGCCTTCCCCTAGAGCCGGCACCCTGACATTGGACGTCTAGCCTCCTAAACTGTGAGAAAATAATTTCTGTTTTAAAGCCACCCACTTGGGGAATTTCTGGGACGGCAGCACTAGACAGCTAAGGCCATGACTGTACCTCTGAGGCCGGGGTCGCCGCTGGTCTGAAGGAAGCGGGAGAAGGGAGCCTGAGCAGCAGGGGCCCTGCTGGGGAGGCGGCCGTTCCAGCAAGAACGAGTGACCCATGGAAGTGCTGCTTGTTAAGCGGAGCTGCTGGGGTGGCCTGGTCTGGGGCGCGGCTCCCTCATCCCATCCTCAGCTAACGGGGACGCAGCCAGCCCTGGGACCCCTACTCCGTCTCCCCAAGCAGCGCCATCTCCTGTCCTCCCCTAATGTGCATCCTGGAGCCTGGTGTGAAGGCCACCTGTGGGGACGAGAGCGTGTGCCCAGTGTGGACGGCCTCGCGGAGGACAGCTGCCCATGAGGAGGATTTCAGGGGTCCTTGAGACACTCTTCTCTCCCAAGGGGCTGAGCTCCTGGCTGAAGTCCCAACGTAGCGCTTTCTCTCGGTAGGTTTGGTCTTTGAGTCTCATTAAAATACAGGGGAGAGTTGGACTTGGGGCCTCATTGGCCGATCGATTCCAGCTCTCTTCCTGGAGGAAGGTGGGAAAGGCTGGGGGGCGTCGCTCAGTGAGATGAGAGAAGCTTAGCCGCCAAGGGCGACCTCTGCAGGCCATACACATTGGTCTGTGCCTGGCCCTGGCCTGACATCTGGGATTGGGAAACACTGAACAGATTGGTTGAGCTGTCAAGAGTTCCTTAGAAATAGAGCTCATCAGCAAACAATGAAGACTTTTCTGCGAGGCAAGAGTCTCTAAAAGGGGCCCTTACCAGTAAAACCAGTTGCCATTGAGTCAGTTCCGACTCATGGCGACCGAATGTGTGCAAAGTAGAACTGTGCTGCATAGGGTTTTCAATGGCCGATTTTTCAGGAGGAGATTGCCAGGCCTTTCTTCCAAGGCACCTAGGGGTGGACTTGAACCTCCAACCTTTTGGTTAGCAGCTGAATGCGTTAACTGTATGTACCACCCGGGAGCGCCAAAGGAACCCTTAATGAGAAAAATTAAGAGTGCTCCCTGATGTTTAAGGCAGAGCTGGCAGTTCTCAGAAGCAGACCCTCCCAGCTTTCCTGCATTACCCTTCACGTGGTTGATTTTGTTTGTGGATAACGAAAGCAAAATGGATCATTTATGACCTTGTGAATCAGAATTTGAATTTTTGCTTCTACCTAAGGACTCCTTAGAATGAACAGGGTCTGTCTTGGAAGAAGTATGACCAGAATGCTCCTTAGAAGCAAGGATGGCAAGACTACGTCTCACATACTTTGGACATGTTATCAGGAAGGACCAGTCCTTGGAGAAGGACATCATGCTTGGTAAAGCAGAGGGTCAGCGAAAAGGAGGAAGACCCTCAAGGAGATGGACTGACACAGTGGCTGCAACAATGGGCTCAAGCATAGCAACAACTGTGAGGATGGTGCAGGACCGGGCAGTGTTTCATACTGTTGTACACGGGGTCTCCGTGAGTTGGAACTGACTCAACGGCACCTAACAAGGACCCCTTAGGAGTCCCTGGGCGGTGCAAACAGTTGAGTGCTCACCCACTAGCCAAAAGGTTGTTGGTTCAGACCCACCCAGAGAGACACCTTGGAAGCCAGGCCTGGCGATCTGCTTCCAAAAGGTCAAAACCCTTTGGAGCAGTTCTTGTCTGCATACTGGGGTTGCCACGAGTCGGCTCGGCAGCAGCTGACAGCAATAACAACAAAAGACTTCTTAACCAAACCCCTTGCCGTTGAGTCGATTCTGACTCATAGTGACCCTATAGGACAGAGTAGAACTGCCCCATAGGGTTTCCAAGGAGTGGCTGGTGGATTCGAACTGCTGACCCGTGGGCTTGCAGCCAAGCTCTTAACCAGTGCAACACCAGGGCCCCAAAAGACTCCTTAGGGACTAAGAAATGTCTAAGGCAAGACTAGAATGACTTAGGGCAGAGGGAAGAACCAGATCGCCAGGCCTTTCTTCCAAGGCACTTCTGGGTGGACTCGAACCTCCAACCTTTGAGTTCTCAGACCAGCGTGTTCACTGACTGCACCACCAAGGGACGTCATGCCTTCCCAGCCGCCTCTGACTTTTGAGTCCTGGAAGCAGGAGTTACTCTGCCCCCAAAGGTACCAGCTTCTCCCTGACAGCTTCTACAGAAGGAGAAATGTGGGTTTGATATTCAGCAATGAGCCAATTTCATTTCATTTCAGAAATGACTTCTGGTCCAGCAGACAATTTGGTGTTTTAGAAGGAAATGGTACGCCTCTCCCACATTCTAGGAGGGTGGTCAGACCCACCCAGCTAGGACCAGTGATGTCCAGTTCTGTCACCATACGGGACTCCTGGCCGTTTGGCGAGATGGCATTTGTGTCAAGGACCCATTTCCAGCATGACTTGTCAGGAAGCAGAGTGCTAACAGCACGCGGGTTCCCCCACTCTCCCATGCCCAAGCTGTTTTGAACTCTTCCAGAATGTTCTAAACATCCCATCCTCCCTCTTGCTATTCCCCTTCTCTTCCTTCCTTGTCTTACCCTCTTTTTCAAGTGAGAAACACAACTCAGCAGAGAACAGGTGAAGGGTTGGGGGACAGAACCGGGAAGGAGGAGAAGAACATCCGGACCCCTCACGCCCTGCGTCCAGCCCTGGTTTCACTGGGCGAAACTGAGGGAATGGGGCTGTGCCTCCTCAGAGCCGGCAGCTGTGGCTAGTGGTGTGGGCCGAGGCTGGTGGGATGCAAGGCTGGAGCACATTTTCTTGTAGACGCTGGGGCACCAGCTGCCTGTGGCCTCAGAGGCGGCCCCGCTGGCAGGCCCCCAGCCTTGGGAGCATTCAGCAGGCACAGTGGGTCTCCGCAGTCGGATCCTGGGCCATGAGGACAGGGCTGGAGTCCAGGGGCAGGCTGCTGAGGGTGGCCTCCCCACACAGGTGCGGGCTGTTGCGGGCAATGAGCTCCTTGGCCATGAGCATGAAGACCTCGTCTATGTTCCTGGACTCCTTGGCTGACGTCTCCAGCACGGCCAGGAGCCCGTACTTCTCGGCCAGCGTACAGGCGTCCTCAAACAGGACATGCCGCTGGTCCCGCAGGTCTGCTTTGTTTCCTGGAAGGAAAGGTGAGCACATAGTCCGCTGAGGGAATTCATCGGTTTTTTAAAATGAACTTTAAAAAAAACATTTTAGATGCATAGATAAGCTGAATGTGGTGCATACACACAATGGAGTAACTTACCTTTGAGGGAGGACGAAGTGTTGGTAATCGGGACTGAACAGACCCGTTTGGAGCACTAAAGGGATGAGAATGGTTTGTCTCACCTAAGCAGCTGAAAAGCCTTGGGAAGGCCTAAGTTTCCTTCCAGGGGCAGGGAAAGAACTGGCCCTTCTCCTGAGCACATTTAAGGGGACAGTGGACACGTGGTCAAGCTGCAC